TTCAGAAATCTTAATATATGAAAGTGTTGTTCAAAGTAGAGAATTGGAATTATAGTAGTGTTAACGTTATATGCCAGACCGACTTAGAGGATCTAAAAAACAAACTGAATAAAAGAAGTGGGACCATAAAGAAAATGGATGCTTATTGGGGGAATACTTTTCACTTTGAAAATAAAGTATTGTAACTTATTTCTTCAGAAGTATGCAGTTCTGTATGAGCAATCCTTGTGTGTTTTGTTTCCTTTCTGGTACTGTTATGGGTTTATGTTGTATGCACACCTAAGCTCCCATCTGGGTTTCTAACTTCTTTCTCTTAATGCTTCAGAGGTTTCCTAACTGAGTGGGTGCATTCAGTGTGGCAAACACTCCCAATCTCTTTAACACCCAATTAAAGTGCTCCTTCCCTGAAACAAACACAGTTGTACCACCTGCAAGGTATTGTCTACTGCCAAAGGAGGGATAATGAGCCAACATTTAGGCAAAGACTTTGTCTTCTACAGGGATTCCTAGGACAGTGATATCATAGGGAAAATGCATTGAAAATTCATTTATCTAAAATGGTTTGAATACTTGAATTTTTCTCATCTGGAAACTATAAAGTCAAAAATTTGTATCCTACTTCTGCCACTGCCACTGATTCATTGGGTAACCTTAAAACATTAATTTCGTTTTGTTTAAATCCTGTTCTCAGCTGTAAATTCAGAGCTGTATTACTGACTTGTCAAAAATATTAAGAACTGTGTACTGCTTTGAAAACGCTATGAATGCTAAACTTCAAAATAATTACCACCGGAAAGTGTAAGCTTTTTAAATGTAGTGGGATGCTAAGGAAACCAGAGTGCTTATTAGTGTTTCATGCGATTTTCTTAAGTCAGAATAATTGAAAGCTTATGTGTTTACCAAGATCCTCAGATTGATGTGAGACAAACCTTTACGGCTCAGTTGACAATTTAAGGAGCGCCTAGTTTTCTTTTTGCAAGTTGAATTAGATTCGATATATATCCTTTTCCTAATAGCTGATTTTGGTTATGACAAAAAGATTCACAGATATATAGAGGAAAAATGTCTTTAACTGAGGTATCTTTAAAAGGGATCTTTATGAGCTGAAAGTGATCTTTATCACTTTAGCTTTGACATAAAATGCGTAGGAAAATATGCAGAGATATCAATGCCTTCCCAAATTTGCCCTTGATTCTTGAATTCAATTACAGTTTGAAGAATGCTTGTTTTTAAATGGCATTGAGAGGACTCTGTGGGTGCTTAACTATTCACATTTTCATTTATCTTTGAACTACTATGTAGTAATTTTCATAACACATTTAAAAATTCCCTGTACTGAAGTAAATGCCAGTGCCTCAGGCTATATAACCCCTTTTTACATGTTTTTTATTCCTGAATCATTTGGTTTAATGTGCTGTATATTGCAATGACATAAGTTTTTATATTTTTTTTTTTTTTTTTTTTTTTTTAGATAAATTTGGACAGGCTCCTTGAGGTTGTAAGGAACAAAGGCATGTTACCTAAAATGCTGGATGGAGGCTTATTTTAAGAACGTAGAGGACATCACTGGCAGGTGTGGCTCAGGTTGGAGTGTTGTCCCATACACTGAAAGGTTGCGTGCGGGTTTGATCCTGGTGGGGCCCATGCAGGAGGGAACTGATTGATGTTTCACTCTTATGTTGATGTTTCTTTCCCTCTCTCTCTAAAACCAATAATAATAATAATAATCGTAATATATAAAAGCCCAGGGTTTGTAACAACCGACCGAAGTCAGTCCTGGAGTCAGTCCTAACAACACCGAACACCGGAAGTCAGTCCTACGGTCAGTACTGGGTTGCCATGGCGACCCAGCACTGACTGCGCTGTTGTGGGTGCAGCGACGCAGCACTGACTGCTGAGGGGGCTGTGGATCAGGCCCTAGCGAGGCAGGGTCTGATCCGCAGCCTCCATGGTAGCTGTTGATCAGTTGTTGCCTCTCTCCTGGCTAGCGAGGCAGGGCCGTGCCTCTCTTTCTCTTGTGCCTCTCTTTCTCTTTCTCTCTGGGCCGCTGAGGGGGCTGCTGATCAGCCCAACCTCTCTGATCAGGAATAGAGATAGGCCTGGAGACTCTGACTGGCATAGAAACTGACCAATCAGAACAAAATCTGGGTGAACTGTGAGGAGCCAATGGCTGCCTAAGAGGCAGAGCTTTTGATGCTAACTGGCATAGAAACCAACCAATTAGAACCAAGTTGGCCGGCAAGGGAGAAGCAGTTGGGGGCGAGATCAGGCCAGCAGGGGAGGGCAGTTAGGGGTGATCAGACAGGCAGAGGCAGTTAGGGGCCATCAGGCTGGCAGGGGAGAGCAGTTAGGGGCAAGATCAGGCCAGCAGGGGAGGGCAGTTGGGGGCCACCAGGCTAGCAGGGGATGGTATTTGGGAGCGAGATCAGGCCGGCAGGGGAGGGCAGTTAGGGACAATCAGGCAGGCAGGCAGAGACAGGAGAGATCAGGCAGGCAGCAGGTGAGCGGTTAGGAGCCAGCAGTCCCAGATTGCAAGAGGGTTCAGGCTGGGCTGAGGGAAGCCCCCCTCTGTGCACAAATTTCGTGCACCATACCACTAGTAATAATAATAAAAGAATATAGAGAACAGTAAGCCCCTTATCTCATTGAAGCACAGCTTTTTGGAAAGCTGAAAAAACAGGTCTTTGCCATGTAGTGCAGTCTGGATGGCCCTGTTGTAGCCTTGTCTTGAAATAGATGTCCATTGCTATATAGTCACAATATGCCCACTCTTATTCCAGTGTTTTCCAGCTTCTCTCTGCACATTTCCTTTGCTACTTCTGTCTCTGAAAGAGGTCTGATTGGTTATAATCCAAAAGAGAGCCCCCTGATTGGGCACAGATTACTGTGTCATTCTGGTCTCTC